TATAAACGAAAAAACTTTACTTATGAATTAGATAAATTTTTGTAAAATTTGTTTAAATATTGAACCTGATTGAACCTGTTCGATTATTGAAATTTTCATATTAGACATCAAAAGTTTTGATTTTATAATATTCGAATGAGAAAAAAAAAGAAAATATTGATCAACTATCTATTAAAAATATTCAGACAATTTTCATTCTGGATATACAAGTATTGCATGTTTTTAATGCTTTTGTCGAACGAATCATCTATCGGGTTACTAATCGGAGCTAACTAACCGTACCTACTAGTATCTCAGTACAAATAGAGCATTGTAGGTGGGATCTAAGGAAATCTCAGATTCATCTTGATAGAAAGAACGCTGTGACAAAAGGGAAGGGCCGAAGGGTGGTTTTTATGGGTCTCATGGGACACGTGACGAGTCAATGATAATGACTTGTCCACTTGTCGCTAGTGAAATAAATTTGAGCAAGAGAGGGAGAGAGGGAGAGAGAGAGAGAGGGAGAGAGAGAGAGAGAGAGAGCGAAAGAGAGAGAGAGAAAGGGAAAGGGAGGGAGAGATAATGGGAACGGTGCACGGTGATAAGTACTGTGAGGCTGTGAATCTGTGAATCTGAATTTTGGGGGTATGACACGCAGTGGCACTCGCTAAGCCGGGAGGAGCAGGCGCGGTATTATGAGGCGGCCAGGCAGGAGCGCCATCTGCATCAACAACGATACCCTGGCTGGAGTGCTAGGGATAACTACGGATATGGCAGCAAGAAGAAGAAGAGGAAGAAAGAGCGATCCGCAGATCCCACCGGAGGTACCACTTTCCAGTGCTAGAACAGCAGGCCCTTAATAATTCATAATTCATATATAATAATTGCTAGTATATACCTATACTGGTTTGATGATTGAAACGATCAAAGTCTCTGTGCGTTTCTTTTTTCGTACGTTTCTTTTTTTGCGTTATTTATTTATTTATTTGTTTATTATGGTTTTCTGGCATTCAATCTTTTTCAACGTGTGCAGGCTATATATATATATATATTTATCGACATATATGTATATCTCTTGGATATTTTATATATGTACATATATGCATATATGTATATTTTTTCGTTTTTCGAAACTGAATTGGATTGTCTGTGGGGATTGTGGAATGTGGCACAGCAGAGAATTAAAAAAAAGAAAAGTACAAAAATAAGAAACAAAAAATGGAAGAAAATCAACACGGACTCTCGCGGCATGCAATGCAATTCTTTTTTTTTTATCTGGCCAAACTCCCTAAAGCGGTATTCGTTCTCCGGAGAACAAGAAGAAATGAGACGAGACAAATAATATCACCGATGATGCGATAATGAGAGCGAAAAGGAAAACCAAAGCCTTAGGTACGGGATGTCTGGTAGAGCCTAGGGCCTGACCGTTTTTTCTCTTTTTTGTTTTTCACTATGAGGCGACATCTGCTCACAATTGCTTGTCTTCCAAGATGAGTCATGCTACGGCAATTTGACGAGAATTGTCCAATGACAATATCTCGCCTTCTTTGAAATTCATTTCTTCTCTTTCTTCCGTTTTCCCATAAATATTCAATAGTATATATATATATATATCTGAAATAAATATTTCTTTTGGGAAGTGACAGTATTTTATCATAAGTCTTATATCGAAGTCTTTCCTTTACTATTTCAATGATGTGGAGAAGAATTTGAGGTAGATGGCAAACGGAAATACACTGGAGGAACCAGCATTTTTTTTTTTTTTTAATGGAAAATGCGTTCATATTATCGAAAGTATTGAAAGATAGTGAAACCTCTAATTGAATCGTCTGATAACAAATTTGTAATTCTCAATCTTTCAATTGTATTTTAATAAATATGAAATTAAAGCAATAAATAAAATTTATTAGTTGGTTAAAACGATATATTATAATATTATTATAATATGTATATCCTAAGGATTGTATCTTCTAATTATTTCAAGTATATCAACTGTATATAGCGTCCACATTTTCTTCAGTGTATAGACATGCAAACATTACTCTTTCACTTTTTCATCCTCACGCGTATTCCATTAAAATTTTTTATCTATTCGCCTATTCGTCTATTCGCTAGATCGTATTCTCTATCAGACACCCTGTATGCCTTTAGGTTGTTAATATCGACCACATGCGACGAATAGCGGTGCGACCGAGGGGGAGGGGACAACTTAGGCTGTTCTTCTAGCACTTTAAACGGAAAGTAGGGACCCCAGTGTTACTGAAATGCTATGAGGCAACGAGATATTGCTTTAAAAAAATAAAATAATAAAATAGATAACAAAAAAGTAATAAAAAAATTAATTTCTAGAGTTAGCTAATTTTTATGCAATTAGGGTGGCGGCAGTAGCATTAGTGAATTTTCTTTTTTCTTGATGATAAAAATATTATTTAGTACACACACGGTTCATGTACAATTACAAAAAGTGTTTGGTTCTCTCTCGGTAGTGGCACGCGCTAGGGCGAGAGGAACAGGCCAAGTATTATGAGTTGGCGCGACGGGAGAGACAGTTGCACATGCAGCTGTACCCTGACTGGTCTTCCCGCGCAAATACCAACCGAACTAAGAAGAGGAAGCGCAAACAAGACACAAACAGTGATCCTGGAGGTACCCACATGCCTCACTCCACACATTCTTACAATCCCCTCGTCATAAGGAAAGAGCCCCCGCCCCCTCCACCCTATTCATTATTACATATATACTATTATATTATATTATACATTCTTATATTGCTACACTATATTATGTTGCATGTTTCCTCCCCGTCTTAGGGGTTTTGGGTCGATATCTATATTATATTATATTATATATA